CTGGAGGTCAGGCCACAGTGCATACAGTGCAGTAACCCTGATGTGTAAGCTGATGGGAGGGATTTGCTCCAAAATCAGAGACTCCTGAAAGCTCCTAAAAAGCCCAAAGCTTTCAAGACTCAAAGGAATGAATTTCTAAGGGTGGACTATCAGACACTGAGATGACCCAGTGGAAAATCAGGGAGAAGGAACACATTTTGGATATTTGGGATGGGCCTTTATAACATACCATATAGGCAGCAGGGATGCCGACTCACAGAATGCGCGTGACAATGCCTGAATAAACATCATTTTTATAGTTGTAAAAAACCCCTTTCCAAACAATTTCAAATCTGTGATTTCACCACCCCTCACCAACAGCATCAGAGCATGTGGCAGACTGCTTTAATGGCCACGATTCTTCCCACTCCTGTGTACTTGTCCCTTTGCAAGGTGACTCTGCCCATCCTCTCATCAAGGATGGAGTCTCTCTCTCTACCCTGAGGCTGGCTCAGCCAAGAGACTTGCTTGGGCCAATGGGACATTAGTAAACAAGCCGGTGATGCAAGTGGAGGCTTGAGGAGCCCCTACACATTGGAGGCCACTCTCTCTTCCTGCCCTGAGACTGTACTGTCAGGAACCTGGGTTTCCTCAAGGACAAAAGCCCACACAGACAGACACCTAGTGAGAGCTAGTTCCCAAGCCTAGAGCTGTGAATGAGGCTCTCTTGGACCATCCAGCCCCATCCAGACCAACTGCCAGATGACTGCAGCCCCTGAGTGGCTCTAGGCAATCCCAGACCAGACTGCTGACCCCAGAACATGAGCAAATCCAACGGCTATTGCTTTAAGCCACTCAGTTTCAGGGTGGTTTGCTACACAACCATTGAAAACTGACACAGCCTGGCAGGGAGGTTACTACCAAGCACATTTAACAGATGAACAAAACTGAGGCCCAGAGAGCTTGGGAGACGTGCCCAAGACCACACATCCAGCCTGGGACTATAACCCAGGACATTTAAGTCTGGGTCTCTGGTTGGGGTCCACCAGGCAGGACCCTCTTCTTTGCTCTCCTTTCTCAGTTGCCCCGAAACTAGAAGCAGCACCCAGAAGCCTTCAATAACTGTTTTCCGAGATTTTATCAGTTTTAGAACAAGTATTGGATTCTTCCTCTTGCACACATGCTCTTTTCCCAGAGTGTCTGGTGTCGGGGTGGGGGCTACACGTGCAACTTCACTTCAGCACTGGCTTCTGTGCAGAACTGCAAGACTTAGGGTGGAGCTAGTTCCTTCTCTCCTCCATGTCTTCCTTCTGGGGAGCATCCCTCTCCCCATAGCCCCCGCCAAGGGCTAGAACACGCAGGATGGTAGCTATGGTGATGGGTGACCCGAGGTCTCTTTTGGTTGGAGAGGCTATAAAAACCCCAGTGCAGCCTTTCGGAGGGTCACATCTCACATGTGGTGCCTCAGAGGGTCTTTGGAGTAGCAGCACAGAATGTCTGACTTCTCTTGTTTTAGCCACGGCAAAACCAATATGTCTTGATTTGCATGTAGGAGCATCAGGGGGAGTTCATCCTGCAGTTCTGAGTGCACCACGCTCTGCCTAGGTCCCAGCTCTTCACTGTGCTGTGCCTGCATCTGCGGGTGCCATCCGCCTGTCTTTCTCAGCATCAAGAGAAGCTCAACAGGAAGCCCACACTCGCCTCGCCTCCTGGGGTCTTCAAGGGTGTCCTGCTTGTGATCACATACCTTGGGGCATCAGCCCTGAGCAGTCTGTCCATGGTGGCTATCTAGCTGGGGGCTCGCCCTGCCTGCATGTCAGCCTGGTCTCCACCTTCTCCTTGGGCAAGCACTGAACACCCATCCCCGCCTCCAGGGTCTCCTGCCTGGGCTCTACCAGTGAGCCTGGGGATCGCCATTGTCAGCTGTGAGGAAGAGAGGAAAAGAGCCAAGCCCATACCCAAGTCTGGCCTTCAGTCCCTTCCAGCCTCTTCAGACACTTAACCTGGTCGTTTTCTGTGAAAGTGACAGGTTTAAAAAATGATGCCAGGCCAGTGTCCCCACCAGAGAGCAGCAGAACGGGGTCTATCCTCATCTGTCCTGGTACCACAGGGCCAGGACCTGGGCAGGGAGCAGGACAGAGGGAACAGCCAGCGCTGATGCAGCTGCTACCCTTGTCCCTCATCCACGGGAACCAGGTTTCTGCATGAGCCCTGATGGACCAGCACAGGCCAGAGAGGAGAGGCTAGAGGGAAGCAAAATTCTTCTTGACTCTTCATTTGGGTGCCCACTGGGCATGATCAAGGTCCAAATGCTGAGCCCGTTTCTAAGGAAGTGCTTTTGCGAGTCTTCAGCCTTCCCCCTAACTAATGGTCTCTGCCCTCAGTTCCCCAGACAGAGATGGTGGCGCTCTGAGCTGATGGCTTGTGACAGCCCTTCTGGCCTGGCCTTTGGGGTCCATCCTCATCACAGGCAGAGTCCTCCTGAAGACAGCCTAGCTCAGGCCTCCTCCCAGGGTTCACGCCAGGTGCTTGGGAAGCAAGCACAGCCTCAGACTGCCTCCCACAGCCCTGAGGACCTGGGAGCTGGTCAGCCTCTGCCTTCAGAGTCTTGGGGCAGGTGTCGGGTACCAGTCTCTGTGGCGCCTGAGCTCCAGGGATGCTCCGCACCCCTCAGCTCAACCTCACCCAGGGAAGACAGAGGCAAAATGCAGAGACGCTGACAACTCAGTCAAAAAGAGTTTCTCTTTTGGACTTCTGAACCCCAAGGGAAGGTGGGACCCCACAGCAGGGAAACCTCTCCTGGAAGCGGAAAACCCACTACCATTGTCTGTTAGCTTGACCGCACAAGAGCTATCTGGAGGCGAGGAGAAGGTGGAAAGATCGGATGAGAGTGACTAAAAGCTGGTGCCTCACAGACGTTCACAAAAGTAACGTCAGAACCAAAATAGCCTTGGTTCTCGCAGCTCCTCTACTCCTTCTGGGATTTACCTGCTGCTGGGGGATCCAGGTGACCATCCAGAGCCCAAACACAGCCCTGAGGGCTGCAGACATCAGGCTAGAAAACCCTGAGCCCTGGCATGGAAGGGCCATGGGGGAGGAGTAGAGGCCCTGGAACCATTTAAAATCCAGGAGAAACCAGCCATGAGGGCTTGGACACCACCCTGAAGAGCATCTCCTTGCGTTTGTCTGTGCAGATGGACAGTGAAAGGGGGTGCTCCCGGGCCCCAGTGGGTTTCAGAGTCCCTGGCCTGCAGGGTGTTGTCCGGCCCCTCCCTGACACCCCCATGCCGCCTGATGGAAGAGGAGACCAGGCGCCAGCCGGATACTTACCTGCTCCCAAAACCTGCTGGTCCAAGTTGCAGTGGAGGGGACTCAAAAAGACCAGGGAATGTCTTGGGGGACAAAAATATCTTTCATCTATAATTCATTACTCCTGATTAGACATTTTCATCTCTACAACTGAGACCAAATCGAAGGTGAAGGAGTCCTGAGAGGAGGCACATGACTGCTATCACTGGGTTGGCAGGTCTCGGCAACATCGAGCACCCTTCCTGTGATCCCGTTCACTCCCATTCAGCTCTGGGCTCTCTCAGGGCCCAGGGTGCAGGGGCCGAGGCTGGGGCCTTAGGAGTCAGGCAGGCCTGACAAGCCATGTGACCATGGGCCAAGTGCCTCCTGGTTGGGGGGACTCAGGGGACACAGTATGTAGTGATGGTCACTTGATATTATTCTTATAATTACTGTTGTCTTTCCCCACCCCTCCCTGACCCCAGAAGAGACAGCGGGCTGGATTCAATCCACCTGCATCTATGGAGGGTCGGCCCTGTGGCAGGTGCCCGAGGGGCAACAATGGAAAGGATGCTGAGGAACGCTTTAGACCCATTGCAGGCGCCACTCAGGAGGCGGCGAAAGGTAGAGAATGGAGTTCTCAGGAATGGACTGAGTCTTTAGAATATTTGTCCCCAAATGTCCTTAAACAAGACAGACTTTTAGTGCTGACATGCCACATTATTAAAACAAAATGACATGATAATCCTGTAGGAACTGTGTTTATGGGTTTCCATATCTGAGTCTCGTCTTTAAAAGGCCTTGATCGAGTGCTGGGCCTGGGGAGCACTAGGCCTGCTGCTGGTGGCCGAGGACCCAGATGCCAAGATGCAGGGCCCGGGAGCCTGCTGGCCGGCCAGGACACACTGCCCACAGGGGCTGTCCAGTGGTGTTCAATCCTTTCTTGGGTCTCCTGGGTGTCAACGCTCACGTTCTCTTGCTTTTGGCTGGAACTTTTTCTAAGGGTGACAACTTGGCCCTTAGCTTCAAAAAGTAGGAACCAGAGCATATGCCCGCCTTTTGAAATGCTGGGGCCAAAGGCTTCGTGGCTGCCCAGTTTGGCTGCACCCTCCATTCCCACACTGGAACATTCGGGCTGGGGCTGCAGGAACAAGCTGCTCCCTGCACGTGCACAACGGCAAAGCCTTTTTGCAGGAACACTCATGGTATACACGGAGCCCATTCGGGAGATGCTGGGCTGAATTAATGATCTTTTGCTTTCAATGAGACTTCTTGAAGCCAGAAATTAAATAGATATTTATTCGGAAAAAACCCAACCCCAGCAGCCTGAGGCTTCAGAGCCTGGCAAATGCAATGGCAGTGTGCAGGAACTACCACTGTCCTGTGCCACCTCCAAAGGCCGGCTGCCAGTGAGCCCCCACCGCCGCTGCTGCCCGCCTTTGGGGTGGGGCAGCACGTGTGAGCTCTGTGCTGCTGCCTGCAAAATGCATGTGGGGGCTGCGTCCACTTCCCCAGACATCTGGGAGGGGTCCAGCCTTCCCCCACAACTCTGCCCTACGTCCTCCAATCTGTCTGATGGCAGGAGTGTTTGTGTCTCCCCCAGCTCGGGGGTATCACACGCTCCCCTGCAACAATTCCCACACTGTTCCTGGCCACCTGGAGCTCAAGAATTTTAAGGGAAAAATGTTGGGACCTTTGGGGAGAGCAGGGAGGGGGCTGGGGGCCGCACTTACCCCCCTCCCGTGCCGCCGTTCTTGCTGAAGTGCGTGCGCGGCTCGCTGGAGGCCAACTTCAGCAGCTCTGTCCACTCTCGCTCCCACTCCTCCTCGGTGTACACCAGCCCTGACTGGCACGAAGGGAAGCCAGTTCAGGAGGAGGCGGGCTGACCTCCTTGCCCTCCCCAACCAGGCGAGCCTGGGCAGCAGAGCAGGACCACCTGGCTTGGTCCAAGCCTGACCAGGACCCAGGCCAGGCCCACTTGTTAGTGGCCACCGACTGTCCCCATTTGCTATCAACAATACTTTTCAGGACCTCTAATCTCGAATTTCAATGCTTTTGGGAGTCCCCCCAGTAACAAAGGTCATTCCCAGGGGGTGAGAACAACCGAACATTCACCTGCACACACACCAGGCTGGGGGCTGACCATTAAAAAGCTTAAAGGGATAACAAGCCAACTTCAGTCAGAAAGCAGGCAGATTCTTCTTCTAGGACAGCAAAGCGCTAATGTTCACCATGGTCAGGATGACTGGATTCTTTCTGGATTGAGCACACATACAAGGGCTGGGGCCGCAGGCAGTGCTGGGGCCGCCCTGCAGCTGTACTTGGCCTTCACGCCACCACCAGCAGTGACCTGACATAGATGACCATATAATTCATCATCTAAGCCAGGACACCTCTGAGAGTGAAGGTGGTTGGTTTTCAAAATTATGCCAGGACAGTTGGTGTGAGTGGACGTGTGGTCACTGGGTGGCAAGGCTCAGCTAGTGTACCGGGCTCCTCTTCAGCGGGTTTAAATGGGGGAGGACTTACTAGTCCCAGAAGCCATTTCTGCCTGGACTCACGAGACAGACTTGGTCTTGGGGCCCAGCTCTGGACTCCACCATGGCCCACGGCTGTGCCTGGTGTGGGTCCCACGCTCTGGACACACCATAGGTACCAACCTCCTTGTTCTGCTGCGTCTGCTGCCACCTCCACCTCCGCTTCAGGGCTTCCTTTTCAGCCCCGGTCCTCATCATGGTGTAGAGAGCTTTCCGCAAAACCAGGTCCCGGTCGTGAAACCCCCACATTCCTGCAGCCGGGAAGCCCGTGAGGAGCAGAAGAGAGAGACAGGATGTGAGAAGGGGGACAAACCAGGAGGTAACTCAAACCACCACGACTACCGGGCCTGGCCTCCCGTGTCTGCATGCACAAGGATAACTCATTAGTCAGCTGCTCAGTTCTCATGATTAGCTAGCAATTCTTCTCTGTTCTTTTTCCCAATGTTTCTCATCGATGCAAGCAGGCGAACAATAGTTGGTGAAACCAAGTGCTGCTTCTCTCTAGGATCCTTGGCAAGCCACTCTCAATCTCTCAGGTTTGCTTTGAGGGGCCTAATGTCCATAGTCCAGGTCTTGTGCTTGAGTGAGAGATAGCCTGTGGGGATAGGCTGGTGACGTGTCCTCACATAGGGTCCAAGGCAGGATGGCAATTAGACCTTGGTTTCCTCTAGGGTTTGCCACATCTGATGTCTGTATCCCTAAGGCATCTCGACCTTCTGAGAAGCAGAGCATCAGGGGACGCCCCTGCACACATCTGGACCCAGGAGAGAGTGCCTGCTTCCTCCCTCCACCCACTCCCCTGCCTGCGCTGAGTATGGAGGGGTTAAAAAGACAAGCTGGCCATCTCTGAGCATGTGCTCAGGCAGCTCAGATGTGGTCAAGAAACCCAACCAATGGAAGAAGCACCAACGAGAGGTACAGCCCTGGATATGGGGAAAGAGTGGGGGAATCCATTCATTCATTCATTCATTCATTCATTTATTCATTCAAATGAATCCCATTAATTCCACTTAATTAATTCCATACTTATTTCATAATAGGAGTGAGACACTACCTTAGGTGCTGGGAATACACACAGCGCAACCAACTTAGGACAGACTAAGTTCCTAAAATCTCACAGAACACATTGTGGGGAGGTGAGGCAGCCATTGAATTAGCACGTCACATAAGGAGAGATGAACAGAGTGGTGGTGGTATTGGTGGTGGGGTGAATGGAGACAGCAGAGCAAGTACTTGAATGGGTGAAGGAGGTTGCTGAGTCACCATCCCAGGCAGAGGGAAAGGCCAGGACAGACCCCGAGGGGGGCCCACACGGCATACTTGAGAATCAGCAAGAGGGGAAGGTGGCTGGTGCTGGGATCGAGGGGACAAGGTGGGGAGTAAAATGGTGGGCTTTTAAGCAAGCTGGGAGCCTCTGAAAGAGCTTTCCAAAGAGGAGTGACCTGCACTGACTGATATTTTTAAAGGCTCAATCCGGCCGTGCCCCTTTTAGTGAAAAATACGCAAAAACCAGGGGCTGCCGTGGGTTTTCCATCAAGCCAGGCTTTTGTCTTTTTCTACAGCACAATGGGAGGGAAGCGGCCATCAGTGCTCCTTTGTAAACAGGCCCAGCGGAACTTTCTCATCCCTCAGACCTGTCTGCAGCCGCCGCTGGGACTCTCCCAGGTACCGCAAGTCCCGTGTCCCGTCTAAGCTCCCACGGCTCCTTGTTTGAGTATCTCTTGCAAAGAGGGTCTCTTTGTCCCATAAATGTTTGCCCATCAGCCTGACTCCAGGATTCCTGCCATTTCTGTGTGGGCCCTACAACCCTAGGCCGATGTTAGGCCTGCTCAGCGGGTTCAATAGCATTGCTGGTGAGTGCCGCATGGCTGCTTTGGGCAGTCCTGCTCCTGTGGGGTTTAGCCTTTTGAGTACAAAAGGAAAACAAGTACTGGGGGAAAAGAACCAACTGGCTCTGAACCCCAGGCTCAGTCATGGCCCAGCCTCTCTCGCTCCTGGAGCAGGGCCCGCCTGTGGGAGGCGTTCTCTTCCCAGGCAGACCTGGGAGGCCCACCGTGCCCACAGGGAAAACATCTGCCATCAGACAAGACTGCAGGGGTGTGTGGCCTTCTGATTTGAGGCCTTGCCCACCCGTGGCACTGATGGGGACAGTGATGCTGCACACTGCAGTTTCTGAAGGACAAAGGCATTTTCACGCCCGAGACTTTGCAACGAGGCTGCTGTCTGACACAGATGAGAGATTTCTTCTTTTATATTCTTTCCCCAGGTTTTATACAGAACAAGGTGAAATGTGTTCTATAATCGGGGAATAGTTAATACATTATGATGAAACATGACACAACTAGTAAAAACATGTTTTTGAAGAATAACAGGGTGGAAAATTCACAATAGAATTTTAAGGGAAAAATGTTGGATTCCAAACTGCGAACACAGTGAGATCATAATTTCACTGGAAGAACAGACAAAAGAATGGAAGATAATATACCAAAATGTTAAAGTGGCCATTGCTGGGTGGTGGGATTGCTGATTTTTATTTTCTTACTATGATGAATGTGGAACACCTATAAAAGTGTCCAAAAATGCCAACAAATAGAAGTGTGTTAGGTTTAAACCGGAAAGGGAGCAGGTAGACGATAGCTTCATCTTCTCCCTCATCCCTCTCGAGCCCCTGGAATGTGGACTGTTCCCCTTGCTCTCAGGCTCCACTCTCCTCCGGGCCTCCCGGAGTCCTTCCCAGACCCCGTGCATTTCCCTCTACGCCTTTCAGGCTCATCAGCCCACCTCTTCCAGAACAGGCCTCACTACAGGTCTGAAGAAGGTTTTGGGCCTGGTCCTTGCTCTGAGTCACAGCATCGAGTTAAGGTCATGTTTACCTGGGGGGCCAAGTTTGACCAACAAGGACCATATTCTTAGCTGAGGGCCCCGTCCCTGGAGAGAGACCTTACACGTCAGGACTGATGAGGTACAGCTGGCCCTGATGCCCGGGTCCCTGGCACAAATCCAGTCCTGCCTGTCAAAACTGATTTGGCCTATGTATACAAAGCTGGGTCCCAAAGGGACAACTGAGCTTCTAGAAAGTCTACTGTGACCCTCAGTTATCCAAATATTGCCACCAACTCCAGTGCACCTGTTGGTGTGGCTTTTCAGACCAGGAAGCTCACATCTCCATTGGATGAGGTTCTGACTTCTCTGCTGGATATTCTGTACCCAAGCGGTGCCTATGTCTGTCTTTTTGTCAGTCCAAGTGTACCAACTGCAGTCAATATGGTGGCTCTGCACCTACCCAACCTCATGCACTGCTCCCCAAACTTCCTGCTTGAGCCCAACTGAGCTCAGCCCTGCCTCCAAACACCCTGTTAATTTCTGCCTTTATGCTTTATCCATGTGGTTGTCTGGCCTGAAATGTCCTTTTTCATACTTTTTCAAGTTCTTCAAGTCTCAGTAAAATCGCACCTCTTCCAGGAAGTCCTCTTTGATTGCTCTAGGCCACCATCTCTAGTACCCATCCCTGCAGCTCATGCTCAGGCCTCCGTCTATCATATCAGGTCTTTTCTCATGTGTGCTCTGTGTCCCCAGCCTGCCAGGTACTTGACATAAAGGGCTGCATTTTTGGCTCCATCCCTTGGGGACTCTTCCGGAGGACAGTGATGAGTATGGCTCTACTTAGCATATGTCTGTCCTTTACCAACGTGCAGAGTGGGCCTGGGGCACTGTCACCCTCTGTCTATGCTTTGGAGCTTACCCAGTGAGGCGGCGTGTAAAAGGCAGTTCCCGTCACCTGTCGTGGCCAAAGGAAGAAGCCGTTTACAGCTTGTGCACACAGTAGACCACCAGTTCAGGCGACCTGGAACAGAAGCTCACTTTAGAACAGAATCCCAGAACAGGCAGGGACCATTGTGTGTTTGCTAGGTAAGCAGAAACACCACTGGATGATTTCCTTTTTTTTTCTTTTTGCAGAGGAAGATTGGCCCTGGGCTAACATCTGTGCCCATCTTCCTCTACTTTATATGGGACACCGCCACAGCATGGCTTGACAAGCAGTGCGTCGGTGCATGCCCGGGATCCGAACCTGTGACCCCTCGGGCCGCCGAAGCGGAGCGCCTGCACTTAACTGCTACGCCACTGGGCTGGCCCCTGGATGATTTTCTAGAGGATTTCTAGAGAAATTAATTGGGAAGGTAGAGCGTTATGACTACATTTTCCCAAATAAAATATAGATTTTTTTTCCTTTTAAGATAAGAAATGGCCAAATCCTCCCTTCAATTAGCAAGAGGATTAAGAAACTCAAGGCCAAAAGTCTTCTCTCCTTGAATCTAGGAACATATTTTACACATAACATAAATTTCCTCTTTCTGTAATTTCCCTGAATACAGTTTTCCTTCCTGAAAGTTATTTTTTTCCTTGAATTATCCTTCTTTTTTGATGCACACATACCTCTGAAAGTATGGTTTACATTTAATTTAATACATCGAAGCCATCATAGCTACTTAGTCATGTTAAATTTCATTAACATACCTTGAGACTTCCACTTCCAGAAAGATAGAGTAGATATATTTCCCCCATTCTTTCTACTAAGTACAACTAAAAATCCTGGACATTATGTATAAAACAACATAGGGAGATGGAAAAGTGGAGAAGAAGGCTGGCTGGCTAGGAAACTTGGGATCCGAGGAACAACATGGTGTTAGGCTCCCTGGAGTTTCTTTTTGCCTTATAAATCCCAGACTAGATACTGGGGAAGCTGCCAACCTGGAAATACCAATGGGGGCAGACAAAAGAATATCATGCTATCTCCAGACAGGATACCAGGAAAGGGGCAGCTTAGGAAGACAGTGGCCCCTTAGACAACAACTGCTGTATTCTAGCCAAACACCACGTTAAAAAATTGTAACTCACCATCACCCCTGCCAGCAGAGGCTGAGTGGGGAGCTGAGACTTCCAACCTTACCAGGCTGTAATGAGTCACTCAGCACCTGCTCCCTCACTGCCAGATGGTTTTAGAGAATGCTGAGTGCAGAGCCAGCACTTCAACCCTGCTGGGTGGTAATGTGGACTCTACCTCTGTCAATCAGGAACCTATGTAGCCTGGATTTCCACATCCATCTGGTGGTAAAGAGGTCCCCCACTCCTGCCCAGTAGTACCAAGAAGCCCATCCTTCAAAAGGTGTCAACAGAGGCAGAGGGGAGAAACTGTACTTCCACCCCCATCTAGAAGTTACAAGTCAATGGGCGCCTGTGCCTACTAGAGAAGGTCTGCTAAAACATGTGATTTAAATAAGATCCAAAATCTTATAACTTAATACTCAATATGTACAGTTTTAAAGTGAAAATCACTTACACCAAGAACCAGGAAGATCTCAAATTGAATGAAAAAAGATAATCAACCGACACCAACATCGAGATGACACAGATGTTAGAATGATCTGACAGGTATTTTAAAAGCAGGCATCATAAAAATGCTTCAACAAGCAATTACAAACATGTTTGAAACAAATGAAAAAATAGAAAATGTCAGTGAAGATACAGAAAGGCTCACCCAAAAAATAGAAGACAAAAAGAAAAACCAAATGAGAAATTTGGAACTAAAAAATGCAATAACAGATTTAAAACCTCAGTCTTCAATAGCAGAATGGAGAGAACAGAAGAAAGAATCAGTGACCATCAGGGCCAGCCCGGTGGCACAGTGGTTGAGTTCGTGCACTCCGCTTCAGTGGCCTGGGATTTGCGGGTTTGAATCCTGGGTGCGGACCTACACACCCCCCATCAAGCCATGCTGTGGTGGCAACCGACATGCAAAATAGAGGAAGACTGGCACAGATCTTAGCTCAGGGCCAATCTTCCTCACCAAAAAAAAAAAAAAAGAATCAGTGAATGTAAAGGTAGAACATAGAAATTACCAGATCCAAATAACAGAAAGAAAATAGATTTAAAAAGATCAGAATCTCAGGGACACATGGGACTATAACAAAAGATCTGACATTCACATCACCAGAGTTCCATAGGAGAGAAGGAATAGGGTAGAGCTGACGTAAGTATTCAAAGAAATAATCACTGAAAATGTTCCAAGTTTTTAAAAACAAATAAACATCCCACGAACATGGATTCAAGAAGCTGAGCAAACCCTAAACAGAAAAAAATCCATGGAAATTCATGCCAAAACACATCACAGTCAAACTCCTGAAAACTAAAGACAAAGAAAAAACCTTGAACTCTTCCGAAGAGAAACAACACTGTGCCTATATGGGAAAAACAATTCTAATGACAGTGGATTTCTCATCAAAAGCCACAGAGGTCAGAAGGAAGTGGCAAAATATTTTTCAAGGGCTAAAAGGAAAGAACTGTCAACCTAGAATTCTATGTCCAACAAAAATATCCTTCAGAAATAAAGGGGCAATCAACATCTTGTCAGATGGAGGAAACCAAGAGAATTTGTTTCTAACAGACTTACTTTAAAAGAATGGTTAAAGGAATCTCTCTAGACAGAAAGAAAATGATAAAAGAGAAAAACCATCAGGACATGATGGTTTATATAGAAAATCAGAAGGAAGCTACAAAAAAAATACTCTAAGTGATTTTTCTCAAGGTCACAGGATATAAGATCAACATATACAAACCAATGGTATTTCTACATACTAACTATGAACACATGGAGTCCCAATTAAAAAACATCATACCATTTACAATCACTCAAAAGTTAAATACTTTAATATAGATATAACACAATATGTTCAGTATTTGTATGCTGAAAACTATAAAATGCTGATGCAAGAAATCAAAGAAGATCTAAACAAATAGAGAGACATACCATGCTTACGAGTTGGAAGATTTTCAACATAGTAAAGTCGTGAATTCTCTCCAAACTGATCCATAGGTTAAACGCAATTCCTATCAAAACCTCAGCGAGACTTTTTGTAAAAAGGAAATTATTTCCAATTTAGAATTCTATACCTCAGACAAAGAGAAAGAGAATTAGCCACCATCAGACCTGCAGTAAAGAATACAAATGGGAGATCTGTAGGCAGAAGGAAAATGATCCTGGGCGGAAGCAGGGTATATATAAGGAATGATGAGACTTGAAATGGCCAGTACGTTCGTAAATGTAAATGAATATTGACTGTTTAAAGCAATACTATAAAAATGTCTTTTGGGGGATTAAATTATATGTAGAATTAAAACGCATGACAGCAATAGCACAAAATACGGGAATGCATAATAAATGACATAAATTCTAAGGTCCTTACATTGAGCAGGAAGTGGTAAAAGGGCCAACTTTAGATAAATTTAATAACTTAAAGATGCATTTTGGAAACTGTAGGGTAACCACTAAAAGAATAATAAGAGAATGTATAACTGACAAGCTGGTAGAGGGGAAAACAGAATGATAAACATTCTTAAATAATTCAAAAGAATATGAGAGAGGAAAAAAGAAATACAACAATAAAAACTCAAATAGCAAGATAATAGATTTAAACCAAAATATGTCAGAAGTATTTATATTAAATGTGAATGACTAAATACTCCAATTAAAAGACAGAGATTGTCAGCCTTGCTTAAAAAAACAAGCATATGCTGCCAACAAAAGACACTATAAATATAATGACACAGAGATTTGAGAGTAACTAGGTACAGCAAGATATACCACTTGAAAACTAAGCAAAGTAAAGCTGGTGAAGTTCTTATTGATATCAGATGAAGTAGATATTACTAAGGCACAGGATAAAGAGAGATATTTCATAATAACACAGTCAAGTCAAATGGAAAATATAACAATACTAAATGTATATACAACTAAGATTTAGCCTAAAAATATATAAAGCAAGAATTGACAGATTCAAAAGAGAAATGGACAAATCCAAAATCAAAACTGGATATATAAATATATATATATATATTTTTTTGTGAGGAAGACTAGCCCTGAGCTAACATCCATTGCCAATCTTCCTCTTTTTGCTGAGGAAGATTGGCCCTGGGCTAACATCCGTGCCCATCCTCCTCTACTTTATATGGGACGTCGTCACAGCATGATTTGACAAGCAGTGCGTCAGTCCATGCTCAGGATCCGAACCTGAAAACCCCAGGCCACTGAAGAGGGGCACGTGAACTTAACCACTATGCTACCGGGCCAGCCCCAAAACTGGATATTTTTAACAGAACTCTCTTGATAAACGAAACAATCAACACACAAAAAATTGTGTAGAAATTAGATAAACATAATTCAAGAACTTGACCTAAATGACATATATACAACATTGCCCCTACCGACTGCAGAATGAATATATATTCTTTTCAAGTCATGCGGAAAAATTTCCAAAATTGACCACATGATGGTCCATAAAGTAAATGTCAACAAATTTCAACAAAGTATTTGAAATCATTCAGAGTATGTGCCCTGACTACACTAAATATAAGCTAGAAATTGATAGAGATAACTAAGAAAAGTTGAAAATCCTCAAATGTTAGGAATTATGCAGCACCCTTCAAATAACTTATGGGTCAAAGAAGAAATCACAGGAAATTAGAATATATTTTGAACTGAATGATAATGAAAATATGTGGGATATAACTCAAGCAGTGCCTAGAAGGAAGCTTATATTTTTAAATGCATATACCAAAAAAGAAAAAAGGCTGAAAGTAAATGTTGTAAGTGTCCACAAAGCTAGTAACAGCAAATCAAACTTGGACAATGTAGGCTGAAATAGTAAAGGAAAGAATCAGTGATATAGAAAAGAAAATACGATACTGAAAATCAAACAGAGCTGAGAGTCGGTTCTATGAAAAGAGTAATGTCATTGCTAAACTCTTAACGACTTAAGAAAAAGAAGGGACAAATTTTCAATATCATTT